GAAAATAGAATAAAGAAAACAAACGATTTTATTTATTTATTTATTTTTTCGTCATTTTTTTTCCATGTTTCATGAAAAAAGCGCAAATAACAGTACTTGGGATCAGATTTTGTTTGCATAATATATCATAAAGCGCAATTATTCAAGGCGACAGTTGCACAGAAAATTTGATTTATAAATGAAACTAAAGAAATAATATAATGGTTATTGAATACAGTATGAGCAAACCAACAAATTTTTATCGTTTCGCTTTAAATTGGTTAAAAAATAATATTTGAAAAGACAAAACGAAATATTAATGCCAAGAATTAAAGGTGAAAATTTTGATTATAAAACTAAAAAACTCTTTTATGAAGATAATTTCGTAAAAACATTTGAATTTTTTGAATTTCAGGAATTTAAAAAACAGTTTTTAATAGAATATAATAGCCTGACCTTCAATTTGAATTGTAGTATGATGTTAACAAATTTGGTGGAACAAATATACATATATGCAAATGTGAATGTATGTTAACAGCAAGAAATTATTAAATTTAAATGAATAAAATAATCATAGCTCAGTGTTTCTATCTGATTGTACAGAACAGTAATTGGTTTTATAGCTTCACTCCTGTTTGATAATAAATATCAAATAGCTTGTCTGTTTTAAATTTCCATCTGAAAACAGAAGATGCTTAATGGTATATGCTTTTTAATTTTACAGACTAAACGACGAACATTTGTCACCACCAAATTAATCATTAGTTTAATCATAAAAATCTAATAGACAAAAGACTTCCATGAATGTGATATTAACCGGAAATGTTTTGTTCTTTTAATTCGTTTTATCTTTTACAAATCACTTATTCACACTATCCATTTCACGAAACAATAATTTACAATTCAATCCATTGTTTTCAATTTTCTGATTTCCTTCCGTTTGATTTCTTTTTCTGTTTCTGATTTCCTTCCGTTTCCGACTTCCTTCCGTTTATGACGAAGAGATTTTGCAGCACAAACAACGATTGTATTAATGTATGTGAGTGACATAAAAGGGAATCAAAATATGTTAATTTTAGAATACAAGTGTCCCTGTCTCTCCGTGCTACTTCAGGTACTCATACCTCAACAGAGAGTGGTAATTAAAGAAAGGGCGTTGCTTATTCATCTTTGCCTGCTGATGTAAAAGTCGATGATAGATTTGAACCAATAGGATTCACCGTCAGATTCCGTATAAAAGAAAGCTCTTGCTGTAACTGAAATCATTTAGATGCGAAGTCATGACACAGTCACTCTCTCGCCTGTTCTCCTAAAATTCTCGTCCCCTGAAAATGGCATTGGCGACAATCGCTGCATCGGTTGTGATGTGTTGTTGTTTTTTGTTTTGCACATCGCATTACTGATGCGGCTTATTGCGCTTCTGCAACACAACAAGTAACCCAGTCCCTTCTAATAGTAATAATGCTAGTAATATTTGCCGCCATCGATGTTTTTCAAATGACAGACTTGCAGCTTCAATGACCACATTCATGGTAAACTTCCTACACCTACTCGGAAAGTTTTAACAATTCATACATTTCATCGAAATCCAGAATCTTAAGCTTCTATCTAAGAATCTTTTTCTCCTCCAAAATAATGAAAAGTAAATGATGGAAAAACAAAACAGACTAATCTTGACTGAAGCAATATCGAACTACCTAATGAAAATATGAATTCCCACATTGTCAGATGGAACAAATCCTCCAGTGATTCTTCCAATCTCAATATGAGTAGTTCCTGCTCCATCTCCACAAACTGCATGCATATTGACCCCCTATTTTTTGACCTTCCATTCCTTCTTGTTCTTTGGTTTATGATTTCTTCTTTAAATTCATCTATAGTGAAAAATAATGATTTCAAAAACAGCTGAAGAGCCATGAGGAATACGTAGATGACGTAAT